AACTTCCGACTTTCTTCGAACCGATGTTACCTGGTATCTCTTATTTATTAGTAAATACTGTATTTTAATATTGTTTGTAATATTAAGGTATGCGGGTTATATCTATTCTTCCCTAGTTTAAATGCATTGTACACAGTCAAAAATGTCCGAATTTTCGCGTTATTGCGCGTTTATATAGGAATGCGTTTAAACGTTTCGTGCTTCACCCGTTATAACCGCGTGGGATGTAAAAAAATATCGACTGTTAAAACGCGAAAATTCGGACATTTTTGATGGTGCGGAACGCATCAAAAGAAAGGAAAGGACAAATTGTTGCCACGCGTTAATTTCACATTTTTGACTGCATGGGAGCTAACAAATGTACGCTTTTTTTTCGTTTAGATTTTTACATGGCAATGACAATGAATAAGATGACATTAGAATTGTTATCTAATGAATTATTGTTTGATTTATTCGAATTATTTGATGCATTTAATCTTCTTCGTGCTTTTTCTGGTCTAAATACTCGGTTTAATTCTCTATTATTTATTCATTTTCGACGTTATCGTGTCGATTTACGTTCGATATCCAAAGAAGATTTTGATATTTTCTATAGAACCTATCTTCCATCGATAACAGATCGTACAATTTATTTGCGGCTCTCCGACGATGAAGATACACCATATCAATGTGCTCATTTTCAATCTGGTGAGCTCACATTAGGTAAATTCAATAATCTTCGTTCATTAACATTCGACAGCGTTAGTTCGGATCTGAAGATTAATCAAAATTTTTTTTCCGATTTACATCGCCTTCATCATTTAACACATCTGAAATTTATTGATTGTCGATTGTTTCATGTCAAGGGAGATGATTTTCAAGAAATAATGAATCAAATTTGGAATCTACCGAACTTGACCCATTTTTATGGAGATTTTACATTTGAAGCTTCAAGTTATTTTGCTATTCCTAATATTATATCAACATCATTGCAATACTTAACTATTCACGGGAATGATTGGTGTTCATATAAATTTCCTCGTTTATTAGAAAATGTTCCTCGATTACGAAAATTTTCTACATCATTAAGTACTTATGAAGAAGATGATCTTCCTCTTGTTCGTGAATTTATACCATCACCTAAGAATTTATCGATTGCAAAACTTGATCTATCATCAATAAATTCACAACGTCTAATGATAAATCTATTTCAATTATTACCTAATGTCATTCATCTAAAAGTTGAAATCCAAAACCTCACATTGGACGGGCATCGATGGGAACAAATTATTGTGAATTATTTACCTCAACTCAAAATTTTGCAATTTATGATGGATTTTGATCTTGGTCAATCGGTTGATGACCAAATAGATTTAAAAAAAGTTGATCAATATCTTTCTACATATCGTACTCCATTTTGGATTCAACATAAATGGTTTATTCGATGTCATTGGACAAAATTAACGAACAATCTTGATATTCAAGTTTATTCATTACCATATCAATTTGATTGTTTTCCTGTGTTCTATAGAAATTTGCATTATAATACACAATCGACCTGCCCATCTGATATGCATTTTTCTTATGATTCTGCTCGGAATATAAGCTATAAATCATGGTTATTCAACGACATAGAATTCTCACATAATCAAATCAATAATATCAAAATTTTATCTCTTATTCTTCCAACTGATCATTGTTTTTTTTCCATATTTCCCAAACTTGAAAATTTATATGCACTTAATGTCGATATTTTCACAGAAAATTATCAATTGCAATTACAAAGATTGCTTGATAGTGCACCTCGTCTCTTCTCACTATCATTTGAGTCATGGGCTACTTCGACAATGCCACCATATCAATGTACTAGTTCATCAATACATCGACTTGATTTACGAGGTTCCGATGGATCGCGTCGTCGCTATCGCTATGATATTAAACAATGTGAAGAATTAAGTCAAACACCATTGGGTATTCAATGTCGAGTACTACACATTGAAGTCGAACAGCCCGTGTGTATTTTGCACTTAATTTATCCTATGATTAATCTTCGAACATTGGATGTCTCCTATGACTATGATTATCGTAGCAATAAATATGACATGGTCAAAGTCTTACAACATTATTTGCCATCAATATGGACTGTTACCGAAATTTGTCATGGAAAGTTTATTATTCGATCATAACTTTCTTTTTTTTATATGTAAATTTACTTGAATAAAATGTTAAATAAAAGAATAAATATTCAGAATCTTTTCTGCTACATAAATTAATTGACTACATATATTGCGTTCAACTATTATTAATAAGCATATTCAATTCAATTTTGAGAAAGAAAAGCATCATAATTTGAAGATAAGAATAGTTCAAAACTCAACAGTTTATTTTTCACTATTTACTAATGGTCATTTTGAAAAAAGAAGGCGAATAGGTATTCTTTGAATAACTTCTGATAGGAACAAAATAGAGAACCGTGGCTTTCACCATAGAAAAGAGAAGATTAAGGCGAATGG